TGTGGTGTGGGTGTGGGTGTGGGTGTGGGTGTGGATGTGCGTGTGCGTGTGGATGTGGGTGTGGGTGTGCGTGTGGGTGTGGGGTGGGTGTGTGCGTGTGGGTGTGCGGGTGTGGGTGTGCGGGTGTGCGTGTGTATAAATTAAGCCTAAATATTTTCTTACCTGATATACCATTTGCAGTAGCATTGGCAAAACTGTTGTAGCAAGTTCCGACCTCTGCGGAACAACCTGCGTTGCAAAACGGGGTTGCCTGTGTGTGTACTGCCAAAATGCTACTAGACAGTACTATCAAGCATCGAACGAAACTTGATATATTTACTGCCATCACGCGAGATATAATAGCTCACTCGAACTAATGCGATCAATAACCACTATTAAGGGACCCTATATACTTTAAAGGTATCGATCCTCCTACAGTGTATATCCTACCTCCGCGATGTCGAGCAGTTACCGTCTACATACAAGTATTGTAAAAACAGGACTAAATATCTATCACGGTGTCACCGTTTCTAATTCTGGAGATGGAAAACGCAAAGTTCCACTTTATTCCACAGTTACACTATTTTAAATAGTGTGTGATGAGAGGAACTTCGAACTCTTGAACTCTGTGCATCAAAGTTCTGTTCACAGTTCACGCAGCGACAGTTCACACAGAGTCATCACAGATTCAGTGATTCACAGTCACCGGCTCACCGGCTACCGCTCATCAAAGTCAAAGAACAATCTATACATTTATGTCCCCAGCTCCAAGTGCCTCAATTTCTGATCGGCTCCTTGCCGTTCTCACTAAGAGTCTCAATAAAAATCTGATCTGTATTGTTTTGTAAAAAAAGAAAAAAAGAAAATGTGATTTGTTGCTTGTCAGGCTATTTAGAGCCAGTAGTCCACTTTGTCCTATAGTAAAAGAGCATAGCCGAACGGTTCAAGTTTTGCGTTCAAATTTCGATATTGTTCAAAATTCAAAACACGTTAGCCAATAGAATCGTTTCAAATGTTGAAGGTTGAACCAAACTCAAAAATGAAAAAAGTCGGGCCTTAAATCCTTGATCAGAAAACAGGGGGACTTTTATTTTTTGCGTTCAACTTTCAACCTTGTGTGTATCAGTATTTACGACTTTTTTAATAAAAAAACAAACCCAAATTTTCGATGAAT